TCTAAAAAATAACGCTAACCAATTTTTTTCGATGATTGGTCGTTGGTATTGAACCAATCATCAATTGTGAGATTTCAACCAATTCCCAACACTCACTCACTCACTCACTCACTCACTCACTCACTCACTCACTCACCCACCCTGGTCCTGAGTTCCCTAACCACTCACTCACTCACTCACTGACTCACTCTCACTCTCACTCTCACTCTCACTCTCACTCTCACTCTCACTCACTCACCCACCCACCAACTGAAAACTCACTCAGTCAGTCACTCGTGCATCTGCAGTGGATGGAAATCATGCTCCAGTCATTACGTAGCCAGCATCATTGATTCCTCGACAGTGGGGTTTAATTTCCTTTAAGTGTCCAGGGTTTGGAAAGGCGTGGGATGCTGGTATTTCAGGATTCTATCTTCCCATTGATCTGTTACACGGACACATTTGTTAAATTACTCAGGGCATTGTACTGTACATACTTATTCATCCTGTTTTGATGTTACCATGGAAATATCAATGATAATTGGACGGAACAAGCATCTGAAGTTACAGTTTCATACCCTCAGGTAACAAGTATTGCAAATATCAAAATTGACTATTGAATCTAAGATGCTTATAATGATACTATTTAAGATGGGCATGTCTATAAATGCCTCGGGCACTTAAAGAAAATAGACAAAGGGGCAGCACATTATGTCACATGCAGTATTTTAAATATAATCATTATATAGGTTAAACACTGTATTACATAGAATATATTTCATATATACCAGGTGATATTGTATGACATAGAATATATTTCATATATACCAGGTGATATTGTATGACATAGAATATATTTCTTGTCAGATGTCCTGTATTACATGGAATATATTTCTCATACATGTAAAAAATTATTCACATCATAACTTTAACATTTCTACCTCAGAAATTTGTAACCTAATAAAAAGTCATGAGATCATAATGAAAACATTGTTTTGTCTTCGGTCTAATGTGCATGTGACAGTCTAGAGAAAACATAATGGAAATGAGCTCAGTTTTGCCACCTGGTGCCGATATTTTGTTCAATGATTCCACATTACTCAGTGTTCAAAATGAACAATGTTTCATGGCTATATTTCAATCTGAACGGGTTGAAACATTCAATTATGATTTTTCTGCCATTATGTGAGATGTGGTTTTTACATAATTGTATGTAATTTCTCAAAGTTTCTTTTTCAAAATAGTTTTATTGTGCATTAGTTGATTAAATTGTGGTTAGTAATCTGAGAGTTTATAGTGTGAAATGATGATTATTTTTTCAAAATAGTCAGGTAGAATATAAAGTCTTCTTTATATTTGGTAAAACATTTTACAACAGCTGTCAATTTACTGTCAGTTTAAGATGCAGGTTGTGCCATTTTTTGCACAAAAACTTTGCTTAGTTCTTTTGTGAGTGAGTTTAGTTTTACGCCACACTCAGCAATATTCCAGCTATATGGCGGCGGTCTGTAAATAATCGAGGCTGGACCAGACAATCCAGTGATCAACAGCATGAGCATCGATCTGCGCAATTGGGAACCGATGACGTGTCAACCAAGTCGGCGAGCCTGACCACCCAATCCCATTAGTTGCCTCATATGACAAGCATGGGTTACTGAAGATCAATATTCTAATCCGGACCTACATGGGCCTCAGATGTTGAGTGAGTGAGTTGGGTTTTATGCTGCTTTAGCAATATTCCAGCAATTTCACGGCAGGGGACACCAGAAATTGGCTTCACACATTGTACCCATGTGGGGAATCGAACCAGGGCCTTCAGCATGATGAGCGAACACACACTAGGCTACCCCACCGCCCCAACATTATGTAATTGATCTGTAGTACTCCACAGGTTCTTGTTTTCCACTGAACCTACTCAGAAACGAACGTTGTACTCATGCCCCCAGCATCTGTTGCTATATATTGATATTCAATCATGGAGTGAGGCTTGAGAGACAATGACATTATGTATTCAGGTTTCTTTACCGTATCTCATAGATTCTACAAACACGACAATGGCAGGACAATCTGGCATTGCAGCTGGTACTACTGGTAGTGTGACTAATTACATTGCCATTGCAACCAAATATTTGATTAGTTTTAGTTTGCCAACGACATATATATTGTTATAGTGTGAACCCAAATGGTTTTTCTGTTTGCACCAACAATGGTTAAAATAACAATATCACTGTTTTGGGGGCAATTTGTATGAGTTGTTCCATCATTGCCAGGAAGGAATAGATCTCATGCTAATAATCAATGAAATATATAGGCACCAAGAAACCTTCTAGAAAATTGTGTTTCTTAATACTGGTGGAACTTGTGATGAAATGTTACATATCAGTCTTTTTAGATTTTTGGGGTGCTGCATTATAACGATGACTGTGTTTTCATTAGTTGCTGGCGATCTATAGCCCATTTTTATGTTGTAATGTCCTAAATAGTATATAATTTTAAGTTACATGCTAGTTTTAAATCTCTAACTGTATTAGATATTCTAGTTGTTTTACTGTCCTTTGGTGACAGATTTTAGAAAAAAAATGTATAAAGTATCAACTGTTTTAGTCACGATATGGCTGAAATATTGCCAAAGTGACTTTAAATTTTAACTCACTCACTCACTGTGAACATTAATTTGGTTGTCATTAGTTGCTCATTATGTGATCAATAGTTTCACTGCCAGGGGATGTCTTGCTCTACGAGCCCAAGGGATACCAGAGATTCTAGACTTGCTTCATTTTATGTGGTTCAGGGACTGTGAGACAGACTAAGGAATTGTCTATTGTCAGTGTGAGCTGCAGGATTGTTGATAACATAGTGCAGCCAATACTTCGATCATGCAGCCTGATTCATTTATTTGGCTGCACCTGGGGCAGGTAGTGAAACAAAATGAAATTCAGTCGAATATAATATCTGTCTTACCTTCCCTGAACCACATAATTTCCCTTCCGCCGAGCCCCTTCTGCAATGCTAAAGCCCTAATTGAAGCAAGTCTAGATTTTCTCATGTTCAGGTCCTGAACTGCTCATTTCACTGGGGCTCCTTTTCAATTTAATTGGAATTATTTGTTTCTGTCAAAATTATATGTATTCAGAGACTAAGCGTCAGTCTACAACATATTTAGACATCTGGTATGCACCATGTTAAGGAAGCACTATGCTATAGGTTATGTTTCCTGTCCATGCTTCAACTACCATTTTGCAAGAGTCTTGCTGTCCTTTCAAAGAATATGATTTCAAGATCACCTGGAATTGTTAGTTATCTAATAGTATTATTTCCATTACTATGGAATATATGTATTTCATGAAGCAGAACAAATCTAGATTATACATTTTGCAGGACATCAACATGAGAATGAACTAATATATTATTTCTCAATGATTTTGTAGACTAGGGTAATCTAGTGACCCAAACAAAACAGATTTAGTACACCCAGTCAAACCAACTAACTATGTTGCAACAGTAATTCCATTGAATCTTTGTAGCCCTACTCAATACACAAGTGCAGTAAACAGTCGATCAAAATAACAATCCCGGAACAGAAATTCCGTTGAATCTTTGTAGCCCTACTCAATACACAAGTGCAGTAAACAGTCGATCAAAATAACAATCCCGGAACAGTAATTCCGTTGAATCTTTTCAGCCCTACCTAAAACACAAGTGCAGAAAACAATCAAGCAAGCAATTCTAGAACATAGAACAGGAGATCCATTGAATCGTTATAGTCTTTCTCAATGGAAAAGTTCAGTAAACAGCAGGAAGACATGAGATGTTATAGAAGACAATTTCTGTCATTTTTATCGCCATACTTTGTGGTTACTTCCTGCTGTTAAGCAAGTGTGTTATAAGGAGGTGCTGTATTGTTAACATGGAATTAGTGAATAAAGATCGTGTATTAATAGCATTAGCAGCACAAAGTGAATGGTATTTATAGGATAAGATGAAGTCAAGTGGAATAACTGAGGAGGATGGCGCCAGTGAGAAGGTGTGATAACATAGTTATCGACATGAGTGGGATAACAGTGATTACCTGACGAATGCAACAATGTATCAGTAAACAATGCCAAAATAAAGAGAACTGTCTTAAGATACAGTGGGTATATAGTTGCCTTGATCTCTGTCATGTCTGTTTGGGTCTCTGAATGATCTGTGCAGCCAAAACACAGTAATCAAGTTTCCATGGAAACAGCAAAGCAATTATCGTTCCAAGATGTGGGACCTTGTTGTGTATGACTGCAAAAGGTCACAAGAAGAGAGAAGACAGTGAACAGAAAAACTGATAATGATACTGTTCTATCCACAAGGTCCGTTTTTATAACTGAACATAACAGGAAACACAGTCTGTGTTATGTGGCCTCAGCTATTATGTGTTATCCCCGCCATCAACGCATATGACTCATCTATTGTGAATAAGCACAATGTGTGAATATTAGTCTGATGATATTGTTGATTTAGCCATAATTTCTTCATTGGATCTACTCTTCAAGTTTGTAATTTACAGCATTCGTTTCCCTCCTTTGTTATTGGCAGATTGACCTTCAGGACAAATACGGAGGTCATTTAGAAATTGTGTGTCCAAGGACCCATGGGACTATTCTGGACAGAAATAGTAGTAATTGCTTGGCTGGAGATAGTTGCAAGGAGTATCTACCAAGTCTATATCGACAAGCGGCATCTTGGTCATCATCCAAGCCGGCCCACTGAGCTCCAGACATACTGTTATTGCATTAATGAGGGCTGTAATGATAGCATCAGGATACAATCCACGGCCATAGTGTAGCCACTTTGTGGAGGCGTCCAGTAAAGTCCTGAGTACAGAGATCAGTTGGAATCACTAAATTGATGCCGCCCAAGATTAACTTGCTGCGGTGTGGTCGATGAGATTTGTAGTGAGGCATGAGGAGCAGGTTACTAGCACAAGTGCATGGGGCACCTGTAATGAGGAATATGGTGGTGGATATGGATTTATGACATTTGGTTACCAGGATGTGGACAGGATGAATGTAGCTCCAGATCCTTCTCCAGCACTGCCCCTATCCTCAGGAACTCACTTCCATCAGAGTTGAAACTGTGTCCAACCTTTGAGAAATTCAAATCAAGACTAAAGACCCATATGTTCTCCAAGTATCATAGTGACATTTAACTCCACTCAACACTCCCTGACTTTTATCTTTATACATTCCCATTGTAGCGCCTTGAGCAGGCAAATCTGTCTGGATTGCGCGCATTATAAATGCACATTTATTATTATTATTAGATGTGGTTGTTCAGTGTAGGGAGTATATGGTGGTGGATACAGATTGTATACCATGCCATTTGGATGTTTAATAGGATATGCGTAGGATGAATGTTATGGTTGCAGATACTGATGCTAAGAGTAAGGAATATACAGTGGAGGATACGGATTGTATACCATGCCATTTGGAAACTAGGATGTGTGTGGGATGAATGTTATGGGTTGCAGACATTGATGCTAAGTGAAGGGAGTATAGGTGGTGGATATGGATTTTATCCAATACTGTATGGTATTAGGACATTAGGAAGGATGGATCTTTTAATAATGGTAGACATGGATGTGGAGTTTCATTCATCAAGTGATTGTTCATGGTGCCACAACCCATCAATCGCCCATTCCTTGAATCTGTATGCATTCAATTTTCATTCTCAGCTCACTGGAGACCACGCTGCCTTATATGATGAGGCACTAAATGATCCTATTGGGTACCCAGTTACTTCAAGGTGAAGAAAAGCATATTTTGAAAAAAAGGTACTTGCCTTGGGAGAAAACATGTGTTGTTGAATCAAAAACCTATTTGAACCACATGTCACACATGGATGTTTGAGGGGCGGTGGGGTAGCCCAGTGGTTAAAGCGTTCGCTCGTCACGCCGAAGACTCGGGTTCGATTCCCCACATGGGTACAATATGTGAAGCCCATTTCTGGTGTTCCCCGCCGTGATATTGCTGGAATATTGCTAAAAGCGGCATAAAGCTAAACTCACTCACTCACACTCATGGATGTTTGATGGATGTGGTAGACATGAATGTTGAGTCTAGGGAATATAAGGAGGTGGATACGGATCCTATCTCATGTCATTTTGTTATCATCATGTAGGTAGGATGGAGTTTATTGGTCACCAGGCAGACATAGTGTGAATTATTGGGAAATATAGGCTAGGTGCTGATACTGGGTCAAACTTAATTTATTAAAACAGTATTCCTTTAAAACATGAGACATAGAAATGGATATTGTCAGTTATCGTGTGCAACATGAATTATACAATTTATCACCTCCTCACATTAGAAAACAGTGAACAAGATCTATATATTTTACAAGAACAATATGAAACATATCTCACTCAGTTATCCAGATCAACTGGTACCCAAGAGACAGGGGATATATTCACCTGTCGACATATAGTCTCTGCACAAGCGCAACTGACAGGAACCTAAGATTAAGGAGGCAGATGTAAAGGCTTACAACTCGGTCACGATGACCTGAGAGTCCTTATCTATGCAGGAAACAACTGAAAGGACACATGTATAGAAATACAGAATTACCTTTGTAGAAATGTTCCTTAGTGATTTAATGTACCAATGGCTCAATTGTTGTTTTTTTATGCAGAATTCTCAAAGTGTAATTGTTGTGTGATGGCTCAGTGATTGAACTGTTTGCTTGTGATGCTGAGTGCCTGGGTTTGATTTCCTACATTGTTACAATGTGTTAAGCCCAATCCTATTGGAGTTTCTAATTTCTCACTCATTAATATTCATCATGGTAAGGTGGCCTAGTGGGTATAGTGTTTGCTTGTCTTACTGAAGTCCTGGCTTCGCTTCCCCTCATAGGTACAAAAAGTGAACCCCATTTCTGGAACCTGTTGCCTAAATACTGCTGAATTGTAGGGTGAAACAGCAGAAACCCATCTCACTCACTCACTCACTCACTCACTCAGATCACTCACTCACTCACTTACATAATAAGACACTGTTATAGGAACTGATTACAGTGTTAATTATATATCTTGCCTCGTGATGTCAATCAAAATACTGGAGCGGTGGGGTAGCCCAGTGATTAAAGCGTTCACTCAACACACCGAGGACCCAAGTTCGATTCCCCATATGGGTACAATGTGTGGAGCCCATTTCTGGAGTCCCCCGGCGGGATATTGCTGGACTATTGCTAAAAGCGGCGTCACTCCTCAAACTCACTCATGCTCACTCACTCACTCACTCACTCACTCACTCACTCACTCACTCTAAAAAATGCTCATCTAACAGTTCCCTAGGCATCAGTCAGTCTGTGATTTCAAACATAAACACATATTTTCTAAGATTCTGTAAACCACAGAGTTAGATTTCCCATATACAGTAAGAAGAGCCAATTTCAGCTTCAAGTTCAAATAATTTTTTCAAGATTTTTAAGACTTGGCATGAATTCTGACATGATAAGCCCATATTTTACCATGATAAGTGTATATCTTTATGATTATAATGCATGGTTTGGAAAACTTTTCAATTTCTGTACTGTGGTTGTATGTAGTGACATTGAAGGCATGTCTGCAGCTCCGTGATGTTTTATGTGTCCTAAAATGATTAAATATGTTTCAAGTCTTCAACTCATACTGTCTGTGTTGGGGAATTAATCACACTAAAAGTGCACATTCTGCAACATTTCTGAAGACATCTCTAGTTCCATTTAACGATTTAAAACATTTTATGGAAAATATCCTCTTTATTACTTGTAATGTTTCAGGAGTGCTTCTCTCCTGTTCATCAGCTGAATGAACCCTTAACTTCTTAATGCCTCGCCTTTCATACATATGACAACTGTCAGTTTAAGATGCAGGTTGTGGCATTTTTTGCACAAAAACTTGGCTTAATTCTTTAGTGAGGTGAGGTGAAATGGGATTTAATGTCGCACTTAAGAATATTTCGCTTATATGACTACGTGCATGTGTGTGTATGTGTGGCTGCTTGTACTAGCCCAGACTGAAGCTGGTTTTACAGTGCTAGCTCACTGAGATACCATGCCGCAGTGAAGCATGAATACCCCACTCAGACACATTATACTGACTCGAGCCGACCAGTCCTTGTACCCATTAATGCCGAGCGACAGGCAGGGACCAACAAGTACCATATTTTAACATCTTTTGGTATGACTCGACCGGGGATCGAACCCGCGACCTTCCACTCTCTCGGGCGGACGCTCTAACCACTACACTACGGAGGTGGTCTAATTCTTTAGTATTCTATTCTACTACTTGCAGACCGTGAAGGTCCGGTTTAGAATGTACCTTCAGTAACCCATCCTTGTCGTAAGAGGCGACAAACGGTATCGGGTGGTCAGGCTTGCTGGCTTGGTTGACACATGTCACCGGTTCCCAATTGCGCAGATCGATGCTCATGCTGTTGATCACTGGATTGTCTGGTTTAGACTCGATTATTTACAGACCTCCGCCATATAGCTGGAATATTGCTGGGGGCGGCGTAAAACTAAACTCACTCACTACTGCTTGCAGTGATAGTGTATGTCAGGCAACAAAGAGCATCTGCAAAAAGTATCTAGCCTGTCTTACAGTCACGGAACTATATTATTCTCACTCCCAACCTGCCTTTTTTAAAATGAAAAAGTCCGAAATGAAGCAAATCTAGGTTTTTCTCAGGGTCTGAATCTCCCAACTCACTTGGTTTATTTAAATGGAGTTACTGTCGAGCACTGTTGTCTCGATATTCATGAGACCAAGAAACAATATTGAGTGGAGAGTAGTGAATATTGAGTTTCTTTGGAAATATCGAGTTCGAAGGATAATTTTGCTTGTTGGGACCATAAAATTATATTGAGTTATCCCGATCGCCCGTGATATTGCTGGAATATTGCATTGGGTTGAACCCCTGAACCATCCTCTGGATCTGCCACTGCATCCGTATTGAGTTTAAAGAGCTTGAATAATGATAAATTATGAAGGATTTTGTTGGGACCGAGATGTTATATCGAGACAACCGAGCTATCGAGTTATCAGAGTTAGTTTGACACAAAAGTGCTTGACTGTATTTGCGTTACTGTTTCAATCAAAATTATATAGTTTCAAAAACGAAGAATTTATCTTCCAAAATATCAATAAAAAATAATTCAATACTTTCCTACATCCTTAAATTTGGTGAAGAACTTGAAAAACAACTCTCCCACACCCCTTAACTAACCAACTCAAACCTCCCACCCACCTTCACACTCACCAGTATTTAATGAGTTGCTCAGCAACAAGCCTGCTCAACATTGGTTAAAAGAGAAAAGGAACAGTCACTGCAAATGATACTTGTACCCTGCCATTCTATCCTATGTTATTAAATATTCATGTAGCTTTGTCTGCCAAACACAACTATTTTTTGCAAGGACATCAGACCATCCATATTTGTTCTATCACACAAGGTCGACAATGGCTTTCAAGGACTCTGATTTCAAGTTTTCAGAATTATAAAAACTGCCTCCTAAAATAAATTGGTGTCAGTCTTCTGTGTATGGTCAGGTCTTGCAGCGTGACCTTTCGAAGACTTGATGTTCTCATCCTAAAGCTCATTTGACTCACAAATGTCCAATGCATCTGTCGCAGTTTATCATCATCATTTCGCAAATGCTAAGAAAATCGGAAGTCCTTTTTATCGTTTTCCCTTTAGGCTGATCTGGATTCTGACTTGTAATAAGTGGCATATTTCCTTCGCTCATTTTATTCCGAGCTTTGGGAATCTTTGAAGTTTGACAAAAAATCACTCTACTGTGTGGAAGATACTGACATTGATATGCTGAAGATTTAATTGAAAAAGCCTTTAGCAATTTTTATTGTCAAAGATAGGAATTGATTTTAGTTAATATAATATGCCATTGGAAGTCGTGATGATGTTGATTAGTTTCTATTTAAAAATGTCATTCTTAATGAAATGAGAGAACTGTCCTTCAGTGAATATTGAGGGTGGTGAAATTGAAATCAACACCCCGAAAACACCTATTTCGAGTCCCATCAAAATAGCTTTGAAAAATATTTTGTGCAGACTCTAAATAAAAAAATATTAATTGCACCT